ACCAGAAGTTCATGAGATCTGCTGTGTCCACTGCTGTTATTTCTAGGAGCTGGGCCAGCCCCTTCATAGTCCCTGTGCAAGGAAGGGAAGGAAGACAGACTCTCCTCTGCTTCCTTTGCCAGCCTTTCCTGTTTCTGGTCCTCACTATGCTGACCTGTAAAGTGAGGCAATAATATATTTTCTGAAAGATCCATCCAGACCTTGCAGTCACTGCTCTGGAATTACAGACATCCCCAAACGCATCTTTTTGGACTGAAAAAAAAAAAAAAAGACCGTCTTAGAAAAGCAACACAGTTGAAGAGTAGGAATTGTTTCCACACTCAGAGAAGAATGTAAAAATAGAGCTCCGTGCTCAAAGGAGAAGAGAATGAGAAAAGGAGAGCCGAGATTGATAATGGCGGAATATAATGAGATGGCAATTTTGGTTTCAAAAGAATGTGATTAGCTCCTAATGACTGCCACCATTCCCTGGTCAATCTACTGTAACTAGCCACTAATGTAAAAATAATGCCCTCAGCTGGCTCCCTTTGAAGATAGAGATGCGTCTCTCTTTCATACTTTTACCCCCTTGTATTTTTTTTTTCCTTCAAGAGATTATCCGCTATTAGATGACAGCTTCCTAAAAAGGGAAATGGATGTGTGATCAAAGTCTGTCAATTAGAGGGTCATTACCGCTCACTCCTGGGTGACTCTATTAGGCCTGGCCTCCTCTGCCTTTGTCAACATCCACACAGCCCCCCAGGCCTACACGTTCTCCTTCAGCCCCTCCAGGGGGTGACAGGCTCCCAGGGCTCTGGCAGAGACCTTCATGGATTCCCAAGGAAGAATCACAACAGTGTTCGGGATCTTTCCAAGGCTGGCTGTGAGCTGAGTGTTTCCTGAAGGGCATGACCTGGATGTCGGGAGATGTCCCAAACTGTGCCATGTAAGGACTTGGGGCTGGCTGGACAGGAACCTTTATCTTCAATGTCACATACAGAGGATGCATGTTTATTCTGTGATGCCCTGAGGAGTCGGAAAAGGCAACCACAGAAAACAGCATCTAGTGACTGTGTCTTGGGAGGGAAGCCTGCAGCACAGTGAGCCCACATTCCTGAGGCTCCAAACTGTAAGTTTAGAGGGTCCTCTCATCAACTGCCTGCCAGGCCACCAGGGAATACAGTTTGATGGCTTTCAAGGTCACTGGCACCTCTGAGACTCCAGGATCTTTGCCTTGTGCATCTACAGGAGTCACCTCACCCACTGGTCTTTTCCATCCATTCTTTACTCATTCATTCAAAAGAGATGATTCAAGCACCATGAAGTTCAAGGCCAGTAGAAGTCCCGGAGGTACCAACGTGCTGAAGATGCCACCCATTCCCTGGAGTCGCCTGTCACCAACTTGGGAGACAGACATTCATGTTACCAGAGCCAGAGAAGTCATCTAGTGATCAAAGTGACTGTCTCTAGAGGCCGTGGGTGGTGGGAGGGGGAGCAGGCCAAGTTTCACCAAAGAGAGATGCTTGAGTTAGGGTTTTGAAGGGTAGGGAGGGGCTTATCAGGCAGGCTGGTGGAAGAGAACTTCAGGCAGAGAGAAGGGCATGTATAAGCTCAGCCTCAGACGCTTGAAAGGCCTTGAACTGTCTGTGGCATTCATTTGGCGCCTTCCTGTTGGTATACCAACCTAAGGCAGGACATGCCCACGGGGCGTGTAGGGTGAAGCCATTAAGGACCATGTGTTAAAGAGTTTGGAATTGACCCTGAAGACAGTGCCTGGGGTGTAACTGGGTCCTATTCACATTTTAGAAAGATCTCTCTGATTACCAAAGTGAGAGAAACAGTGGGGACACTCATGGCAAAGTGTTTCTCCAGGTAAATGCACTATCTGCAAGAATCACTGCGGCACATTAGCTTCACCTGGAGAGCTATAAACACTGCTGATGCCAGTGTTCCTCCCCAGAGTCAGAATGAACGAGTCTGGCACAGGACTGTGGCTTTGGGAGTTGGAAAGCTTCCCCAGCTACCCTAAGGTGTAGCTATAATGAGACCCTCCGCTAACTGGGATCTGAACCCCAGCACGTAGTAGGCAGCCCCAAATTTTTCTTTTTGAAGAGTTAGTGTGCAGATATCTGCGGTCTGCTGCTCTTGACTTAATACCACTTTCAGGATGTACGTTTGAATGAGCAGTTGGGTTTGTCACAGAGAAGTCCACGGAGGAAGCAGCTTAAACTCGGAGAAGTCCAGTGTTACCACTGAGACCAGCTACCGCACCCAGCCGAGAAGCAGGAATTTTCCTGAAAGCCCTGGAGGTACCTGGGTGGGGCAGAAGATGACAAGGGGCTGGGGTCTGAGTTAGAAGCAAAAAAGCAAGAGTCACTTGCAATCTAGAGCTGACTGACCCTGAGGGCCAGGACGATAAAGGGTGGAATCAAGAGGAGGAACAGCAAGTCCTCTCTTTGGAAAATAGCACTTTTCTTCTGTGGCACTTGCGTCTCACCCAGATTTTGGGCAAAGGCTGATGCCGGGAATCTAGCACCCTTCAGGGTGCCTTTGTGAGGAGCTCTGACACACACTGTGCAAACCTCTAATGGATTCATAACTGGAAAGGAGCCCTGTCACCCCAATCTAAACCCTGGGAGAAACTGCTGGAGATCACGGCTTAGCCCAGGAAGCCCAGCCTAGAACTCCACCTCACCCCTGTTCAGTAGGGACCGACTAGCAGACAGGACAACACTTATGCCTACTGGCAAGTGCACAGATGAAGGTCAAGGTCCTACTTCTAGAATAAAGGTCGGCACACTACAGCCACAGGCTAAGTCCAGCCTGACACCTGCTTTCGTGGAAGCAAAAGCAGCACTGTCGGGACACAGCCCTTTGTGTCTGTCTGCACTGTCTGTGCTGTAGGTGTGCTGCAACAGGGGCCTCCTGTAGGCAGCTGCCATGGAGCTTAGGTGGCCTGCAGAGCCCAAACTGCCTACTCTGCCCCATTACAGAAAGAGTTTGCCAACCCTGACTCTAGAAGACCCACCTAGGTGCCCCGGAAGCCAAGGAAGGGGCCTCTGGCATGAGCTGGACTGTGGACCTGCCCTGCCTGCGCGTGGCCAAATTGTGGATCTATCAGGATCGCCTGGTCTAACCCTTGCTGAGGACAGGCCTCCATGAGGAATAGCCGGGTCCGGGAAGCCTGGTGCATTAAGAGGAGTGGAACTGTTCTCCCTGTACCGCTGCCCGGGAACTACTTAGACTGAAGATGTGGCGGTGGGTGTTGCGTCCCAGACACCATGCAAGAACCATGAGCTTTGCCGTGGGGCTTATCCCGCCAGAACCGGGTGGCCTTACCTTCCTGCTCCTGTGTCTTTCCTCCCGCTGGTACTGCTCCCATAATGACCATCTTCCTCCACCCTGTCTGTCTCCTCATGCCCTGGTGGCTCTCATCTCTTACTCCCCGTCCCTCTGCCTCTGCACATCTCCGTTTGGAAATCCAGGCGTCACCTCAAACAAGGTTACTGCTGTTGCTGCTGCTGCTCGTGTTGCTTTGAACATGCTAAAGGGCACACGTGCCCGGCAAAGTCTGATCTGTGCACTCAAGGGGCCCAGAACACGGCGCTTAATTCCTGCCTCCATTTCTGCCCCTCCATTTCTTCTCCAGCTCAATGACACGACTCTCCGCTCTGTTCCTTGAGCACGCAGTCTCCATCTCTCTTTCTCCACCACAGTCCACATCTGCAGAGCACGTACCGGGTCCAAGCTCTCATCCCCTCTGCACACACTGGTCCCGCCCTGCCCACCCTGGGCCTGCCACCCCCAAGCACCAGTGACTACCTGAGGACATCCTCAGGGCCCAGGAAAATGAATGCCCAGTAGAGAGAGCATGGAAGACACCTTCGACCAGTGATGATGGGAATTGGCCGGTGAAGACCCTAACTGCCTCTCTCTCAGGTGGAAAAGTGCGCGCAGTGGGAGCCTGCTCCCTGGTGTGCCTGTACCCACCGCCTCCCTTGACTGTCTGGCTTCCCCCAACCCCCCTTAGAATTGCCTCCCAGATAAACAACTCACACTCAAATCCTTGTTTCTGAGTCTGCTTCTGGGGAACCAAGCCAGCATTCGTCTGAGCATCCTGGAAACAATCTCTTCTTACTGTACCCACTGTCGCGGTACATGGGGGAAGGCACCCCCTCTTGCTTGGACTGATGCAGCAACTTCCTAGCTGCTCTCCCTGTGCCCTCCCCAGGACTCCTAGAGCCTGGGTTCCACCCAGAATGCACAACGTGCTTGGTGAGACACAGACCAGGCAGCTCCCCACTCGGCACGGTGTGCACACACATGAAGAGCCCCCTTGTCTGCCCTAACCATGTGTGTTGTATGGTAGGAACAGTTGCAGGCTTTCCAGATGCTCCTATCACAGGTTTCTCCTGTCTCATCCTTGAGCGAGGTCCTTGGTTACCATCTTCGCACATGCTGTTCCCTCCACCTAGAAAGTACTTTCCTACTCTCTTGGCGTAACCGGGCTCTTTACATCTTTAAGAGAAGCTTACGTCTTACCGTCTCAGGGAAGCCCTCTCCCCGGCTGCATAACCTAAAAGAATCCTCAGTCCCCGTCACTGTCCTTTTATCCTGCTTTGTTTCTTCATAGTATTTGTTCCATTATGTTTGCTTGTTCCTGTGCTTTGTCTCTCAGTTGACTGGAAGCTCCAGAAGGACTGTTTATTTCTCTTTGTCCTGAGTACCTAGAACAATGTCAAACACATACTTGGGCTCAATAAATACCTAGATGAAGTGAATGAATGAATGAACCAGTGACTCCCCTGCTAGATCAGACTATGACACATAGTTGATTTCAAGGACCTTTGAACCAATAAACAAGGGACAAATTCTGCAGAGGGGCCGAGTCCGTGCCCCCCCCCAGCTCCTCCCATGAACACGCAGGGCTTTATATTCCATGACCCATCACTGCTGGCTCATTTCGCATGATCAAAGCTGCCATCACAGGCCATTCTAACCACCCTGTCCTTTCTTTATAGGCCTTGCCAGAGGGGCAGACAGCTTCATGGGATACAGCCAAAGAAGATGAAAACCGCAATAAGAATCGCTATGGGAACATCATATCCTGTAGGTGCCCTTCTGGGAAAGCTCCAGGTTCGGGGGACCAAGGGGGAAAAGAAACTACCACTGTTCTTTGCCTAGAATTCGTTAGCAAACCACCCTTGACGTTTCCCCTGTTGGGCCCAGAGGCCAGGTTCAGAACCTGATTTCAGCTGCCTTCTCAGCTGGTCCAGAGAGCTAAGCTTGAGTGTCTCGACCTACAGGGCAGGCAGAGAACTGGGTCCAAGCCGAGCAGCTCTAGGAAGCCTCTGGAGGTGGATGTTACCAGGCACTGCCTCCTCAATGATCCTTAGGGTGGGGGAGCAAGGACAGCCCAAAGGGCTCTCAGTGAGAAGGCCCACAACTGAGCAAGAGGACAGAAGCCCTGTGTCCCTGGCATCTCTCCATTGAGCACACCACCTTGAGGGTGGGCAGCAAGCCCCTGCCCATGAGGATGGGACAGAGAATACCAAGGCTGGAAGAAAACACCGCTCCTGAGAGGTCAAGTCCCAAGCAGAAGGCTCAGAAGGAGCTAGAAACTCTAGCCTGTGCCCATAGGCTTGGGGAGTGGCCAGCTCCAGGTTCAAAAGAGCTGTTCTGGTCATGGAAACCATTTTGGCTACCTGACATCACAGCATCTGCCAGATTTCACTAGTCGTGGGACTGGGCCTGAGGCAGAGGCCCTGCCTCTCTGGGCATAACCAGACGGGCGTCTGTGGGCGTGAACCTGCAAGTGGAGAGCATGTTGGTGTGCAAAACCAGGAAATATGGGGCGAGCGGCTGTGGTTTACCAAGGAGTGGTAGTACTCCTGGAGCACCCCAGGATGATCTGAGGAAGGCAGTGGAGCAGACTGGTTAGAGCCCTCCAGAATCAGACTGCCTGGATTTCCAGCCCAGCTGTGGAGCTATGGGCAAGTCTCGCAAACCCTCATTTTCCCAACTTATAAAATGATGGAGCAAACAAGGGTAGGATCACTGAGAAAAGGCACCGGAGGTGCTCGGCTTGGCACCTGGCACCAGACACTTGCTTCCTAGGGTCACTGATAAGCGTGTGGCTCACTCATGACACCTTGTTTTGCCCGAATTTACTGGTTGGGTGGTTGGGGGTTTGGGGAGGGACCCTGGTCAGTGATGTCTGATCCCAATAGCTTGTGATTCAGACGGTGGATTCGATTGGGAGAGGCTTAGGCAGAGGGGTTGATCGGGATCCTACTGCAACAGTCCCAGCAAGGGTCAATGGAGCTTGAAGGTGGCAGCGACAATACTGGTGTGACTCATGTAAAAGAATTGATTTCTGGGAGGAGATGGAGAAGGAGACGCTGCAGAACTGAATATCCTGCACAGGTAACACACAGTAATTGTTGGTGCCAAATATTGGCACGTTCAGCCTTCAAAACAGCATGCTACAGTGAGAACAAAGTGGCTTTATACAGAATGCTGAGCACGGATTTTGATTACGACAGGAGCCTACAGCAGCATTTGTCCCCCACAGTGAAGCCAACCTGGAATTTTTACTTTTTGACATCTCACCAATTGAGAAATAGAATTCTTTGGTATCAGTTCTCAGGGTACAGTTCAGCCAAAAAAAAAAAATCCTGAATAACCAATTATTTCTAGCACAGTTCAGTGTTTTTGTTGTGTTTTCTTTAACTAGATATCGTCTAGACATTGTCTAAGTAAAACTCAGAGGAAGAAGGCATAAGATACAGGAAGCTCATAAAGGAAGAAAGAGGCAGAAGTTTTAGCTTAGTTGTTTCCTGTGCTGGTTTAGAAATGGACTCTGGACCCTTCGTCAGGAGACACATAATTTGTCTCCTGGAACATACTAATACAGACAGCAAGATTTCTTGCAAGTAATGTTAGAAAGAAAAGCTCAGCATTCAGGAAATATCTATGAAAACCTATGATGTGTATGTGGGCTCCTCTGAGGCCAGCCCTGTGCAAGGCACTGGGAGACTCAGCCCCCCATTCCAGACTCAAGCAGCTGCACCCTCCGACAACTGCCTGCTTGCGTATTGTGTGAACTGCAACTTAAAACAGCAATCACCCAGCTCCTCCTCTAGTCTATGAGCTCAGATAGAGTCCACTGAACTATAGGTTGAGAACCTTGACGGATCATCCTGAGCCTTATTCTTCACTCTGTGAAATGGGTACAGCTGGACTGTCTCCCTCCTAGTGTGTGATTCAGATATAACAAAGGACTAGTGAAAAGACCCTACCTCCCTAAGAGACTAGAATGTCCAGCCCAGATCCGTGGCTGCCATGGGGGCAGAAATCTCCCAGTGCACACGCTCTGTGTGCAACACTACCCAAGCCCTCACCAGCTCTCACCTGGACTCCTCCACCTCCTTCCTGATTACTCCCTCCTATCGGCCCCCAGCTTTCTATCTGTCTGGTCTCTGACCAATACCAGAGGGATCATCTCCAAACAGGACTTTGGATCAGTCAGTCTTCCTACTCAAAACCCTTCACGTGGCTGCCCTTTGATAGACCTCCTTATGCAAAGACCCTCAGAGCCCTCCAGCCTCATTTCACACGGTGTGCTCTCCATCGCCACCCCACAATGAAGCCACACTGGCTTTCATGCAACCTTTGGAGAGACGCTGTCTTGAGAGACAACCATGCCCATCCATGCCACAGGACTTTTGCACATTCTGTCTCAACAAAGTAACTTTCCCTCCTCTTCTTAAACAATGAAATTCTACTTATTCTTCAGATCTTAGCTCAGTCATCACTTCCTCAGGGAGTTTCTCTGAGCCTTAGAATTTGGTCAAAACACCATTATTTACTCTTAGAGGGCAGGGTGTAACTTCCTGGCTTTCATAGTCATTGCAGCTTGAGAGGCACTGTCTACTGCCACTCTCCCTCACTGGAGTAGATGCTCTGTGGCCTCAGGATTATGAGCACTTGCCCTTCTGTTCCCCCAAACTCTGCATATTCTTGACTTACGGTAAGCAGAAGCTGAGTGCTTTCTAAATAGTCAGAAAGCACTTTCTGCAAAACCTCCAAGGCTTTGAGCAGTGGTTCTTTCTCTTCTGACTTCCCATATTAAATAGGAAACACTGGACAGGTTGGATGGAGGGAGATTGGTTCAGGATGACACTTGGAACAATGATAGTCCAGCAAGGAAGAAGATACTGGATCTGATCCTGATCGAAGAGAATGGAAATTTGGGACATGGGGGAGAACAGAAGAGAGCAGCCGTCTGCCCTTTGAGAGCTGCATTCGAGGAGGCAGAATTTTCAGCAGTGAAGGAGCATTAGGACTTCATTGCTGGGGTGCAGGAGATGCTGCCATCATCCAGCGGTACCCCACAGTACATCCCACAGCCGCACCCCCTCCCTGGGTATTGTTACGTGACACCGGCTGGCAGTGTGGGCATCCAATGGCAGGGTGCCACATTGAAGGAAACCTGAAGGGTGAACTCTATGCCTTTCCCAGAGTCCCAACGGGGCATCAAGGGCTTGGAATCGCCCCGGATATGGGCTGCCTTTCCACACCCCTCCCACCGGTCCCTTCTCCCGTGTCTGCCAGCTGTGCTGGGTCCTCTTGCATGTGATTCTGGGGGAACTCACACTGAACAAAAGACATTGCAACACCCAGTGACACCTTGATGGTTTCAGCCTGCCTCTCCTTTTAACTGCAGGATCAATAATTGAGCAAGCAGTCAGGGCTGGGGAGGGTCTGTGCGCTGTGCTGAGAGGACAGTGGGCAGCGGATTCAGAAAGCAGGGTAACGGAGAGAAAAAAGTCCTGGGATTGAAATGAGGAAGGTAACGAGAAGCGGCCCCGAGGAGCGGAAGGTGTGCCTGCCCCTGAATGTGTCCCTCCCAAAGGCAAAGTCTGCCTCGGCTGATAAATAGAAATATTCCTGGCACAAGAAGAAAACCGAGTGTGATTAGCATCTTAAGGAACCGGAGCACTGGGAGGCTGGTGTGGAGGACAAAGGCCCAGGCCGGGGAGAACGGGAAAGATGAAAGGGGATGAGCAGAGGAGGCACTGTCTGCGAGTGAAACAATGGCAGAGAAGCCTGGGCTAAATAAGCTCTTTCTTCCAAATGATTCCATTTAGGATTTAGTCATAGAGATCGCGGGGCTTCCAGGGAGTGGAAATGGAAGGAAAGTAAAAGGGAAGGAAATGAATGGGGAAAGACTACAAAGAGCCCTTCGCTTTCAAGTACCTCTGGGGCAGAGGCTAGTGACAAGGGGAAATTTCGAGACTGTTATTAACATTTTCCCCACATGGAAGTTCGAGATGGACCTTCCTGGGCGGGCAGGAGGAAATGGCACCGAAGAGAGGCCGTGGGCTCTGGCCACACAGATTTTAGGAAATGAGAGCGCCGTTCTGGGATCAGCCAGGCTCCCAACAGGAGATAGCTGGGAACCGCAAGTAGGACGATTTGAAAAGAACTTAATCAAGGGCTATGTGTGAAGGTGTGAGCGAGGTGGAGGGAGACCACAGGGTAGTGCGAAGCCTGGCCCACACGTCTCAGGGAGAACAACCCAGGGCCCGGACGAGGTGGAGTGAACACATGACCCCACGAGTGACCTTCAGTGGGCACAGCAGCCCGTGGCGGCCCCAAGAATGGGAGCTGATGCCCAGTCCCTCCATGGTGCTCTCCTTCGTCTGTCCAGCCTCTGTCTGTCCAGCCTCTGAACCCACCAACTGCCCTCAGCACACAGACACTGAGCTGTATCGCCTGGCAAATGTTCGAAACACACATCTTGGTGCCCACCCCAGGCCCACCAGGTCAGGCATCTGGCACTGGGGCCCGTAGTCTGTTTTCAGAAGCCCCCAGGTGATCCTGATGCCTGGAATGTGAAGCCCCATCTGATCCACAGAGAGCAGCCCTGGGTTAAGGAGCCAGGCGCACAGGGCTTGAGAGTAAGCAGGCAGCAAACTGGAGACCCAGTGCACCTTCTGAGATTTCTTTGCCCCGAATCTAAGACACGCGTCCAGGTCGATGGGAGGCCTGGCCAGGAGGCCAGGCAGACCTGTATCTGGACTCAGTTCACCCCTTGCTGGAGC